GCTCAGTCATGTCTGACTCTTTGCGACCCCGTGGACTGTAGCCTACCAGGATCCTCAGTCCATGGGATTTTCCAGGCAAGAATACTGGAGTGGGTTGCCATTTCCTTCTCCAGGGGATCTTCCTGACCAAGGGATCAAACCTGGGTCTCCTGCAGATGCTTTACCGTCTGAGCTACCAGGGAAGCCCTTTGAAGTCCTTATAGTATTTCTTAATTTCTGCCTTTCACTCAGTCTTCAGTATGTCATAAGTAGGTAAGAGCAACAGTAACCTTTCTTTCTTAATGATCAAAGTACTTTCAAATGGGAATCAAGATGGAACTGCTTTGTATTAAATTCCTATCTGTAGTTCACATTGCCTTGAAGGAACCTCAGTGTATTTTTCAGAAATAATTACTACGGTACTATCCTGGGACTTCAGTCCAGCTTGTGATTTGGGAATGGGTGATTGGCAATCTTCTGTATAGCTTGCTTTGCAACTGTATTTCAGTTTTTACAAAAGAAAATTAAAAAACTAAGACTAACTGCTTAAGAATAAAAGAGAATTCATCATCTCTCTTACACACATACACAGAAAACCAAAAAAAGAAAGACTATAGTGGGAACCTCCCAGAAATGAGGAACAAAGGAATGTTGTAGTCAGCCTTCTAGACTTTTTTTAAAAAGCAGTGATGTTTAATAAAGCTTAAAACTGCTAATAACTGTGGAATAGCTTAGGAATTGAAGGAATTAAATATGGAGTACTCCATATTTCAAGATGAAGCTCATGTATGTATCAGACCAACTCCTCTCTTATCCTTGTTATAAACATTGGCCAAGATTATTCAGAGACTTTCTCAGTCCTTTTTGCTCTGATTGTTGCTCTAGGTTCCTTAAATACTAGTTTCCTTAAATACTACATGATTGTTAGTTCATCCTAGAACCGACACCCCTGCTTCTTACTTCATTTTCTGCCTCAGCTGTTCTATCATCTGCATCATGGCATGTTGCGGGATTAATGCTGTATTGGTTGCTTTGTTGGAGAACTCCTTCATCACACTCATCAAAACATTCCCTTGGTGTTTTTAAGCAGTTAAAGAACTTTTGCCATGGGAGATGGTAATTTGGAGAACTGCCTTCTCACTGTCACATTGATGTATCATGTAGGTTTGTACAACTCCTCACTGTAAGAGGCTTGCTCAGGCCTGACTTTAGGCTGGCACTGTGGACTAGGAGCAGCACTACAGCTGACTGAGTAGGTAATCTGGGTAGCCAGAACTGACCATTTCTGAAAGACAGATAATGAGTGGTAGCATGGGGCTCAAGTAGAGGAGAAAAAACTCAAGAAGGTGTCAACCAGATGAACATAGAAATGGGACAGGAAGCAGAGCCTTATGTTGCGTGCATGTTCATTCACTTCAGTCAAGTTCAACTGCAGCCCCATGGACTGTAGCCTGCTAGTCTTCTCTGTCCATGAAATTCTTCAGGCAAGAATACTGGATCTAGTTACCATGCTCTTCTCCAGGGGATCTTCCCACCCCAGGGATCAAATCTTCCTCTCCTGCATCTCGTACATTACAGGCAGATTCTTTACCTAGTGAGCCCCATGGGAAGCCTTATATTGAGGACAGGGCTAGCATACCCAGAGTTGTTTTTTCAAGTGCTTGCTATTTGTTATGTGGGCTGGTTAAGTTGAAACAAAACAAATAAAACAAAAATGTGGTGACTGAGTAGATAGTCCTGTGTGTTAGTGTCTCAGTCATGTCCAACTCTTTTCAACCCCATGTATAGCCTGCCAGGCTCCTCCATCCATGGGATTATCCAGGCAAGAATACTGGGAGCAGGTAGGCATTCCCTTCTCCAGGAGGTCTTCCAGATCCAGGGATTGAACCTAGGTCTCCCACATTGCAGGCAGATTCTTTACCATCTGAGCCACCAGGGAAGCCCTAAATTGCCAAATTGAGATAGTCCTAAATTGCCAAAATTGTTAGTGGCACCTGTAAGCATATGTGTGATTTAAGTATCTCTCCTGAACTTTTCAGATGGTCTGAGGGCCACCTTGAAACATATATTACATTTCTTCTACAGAAAATTGGAGTGTGTCAGTCCAGTGGTTGCATGAATTTTTAGTACAATCCTTTTACAGATTCACTGTTGAATGATGACCTTAACAAAACATCAGTGTGTGTGTGTGTGTGTGTGTGTGTGTGTGTGTGTGTGTGACCCTGGCCAGGGAACATGGATTCAATCCCTTGTGGGGGAACTAAGATTCCCTACACTTTGAAGCCATAAAAAAATTTTTTTAACTGTAAAATATTAGAACTGGGACAAAATTTTGCTTAACCTCCTTGATGCCCTCCAGTAGCAAAGTCATTATTCATTCATTTGTTCTTTTGTCATTTATTTCATTGAGTATGTACTATGTGACAGACTACTCTCAGCAAGAGGGTATACTAGAAATAGTTTAAATAAATTAAGTGTAAGTCTCCTGTAAGAAGCAAATTTGTTAGAAACTTGATCCTATTGTGGCCTGTCTGTTAATAAATATTCTGAGGTTTTTTGTTAATCTTTTTATTTGTAACTTCAGGTTTGATGGTGGTATAGTATTAGGAACAGTTAAGAGTATCATTGAATAGTGATTCTGGTGTTTTAGAAGGTCTAGAACTTTAGGAAAGGTAACTATATGATGTTCACGTGTTATCCTTAAGAGTAAATTTTTATTTTCTACTTAGAAACACAGGTTCTAGTTGGATTGCATATTCTCAATGAAGCTAGTCCCTTTTATGTTAGAACCTTTTCTGAAATGCAAATAAATATGAATTTGATTTTGTTTGCATTTTACTTAATATTTTTTATTCAACCAGAATAATCTTGCTTTGATTCTTCCACTTTTTCACATAATTATTGTGTTTGATTATATTTGATCAAAATAATTCACTCCTTTTTCATTTCCTTTAGACAAAAAAATTATTTTTCTCAATTGAAAATAAATAGGAAATAAATAAATCAGAAAATTCTAAAATGAAGATCACTATGCTCCCACAAATTTTATGATACTTGCAGCAATTTATTCTTTTTTTAACAAAAAGAGCTTTAAAAAAAAAAACAAAAAGAGCTTTTATGAAACTGTCAATAATGTAACTTTGTTCAGTATTACATATTTTTTAAAATATGACTGTTTTCCAAATACCACAAATAGTTTAAATTATTTTATTTTTAAGAAAATTTTTTAATCAAGATGTTGGTTAATTTTGAAAGTAATTCAAACTCAGAGATTTCATTTTTTAAGTTAGGACTCCTTAAAATTTACTCTTTATTAATAGTTTACACAGTTGACTGTTTAGCAATAGTTCAGAACTTGGCAATGAAAAGGAAGCTACAGCAGTTACCTCAACTGAATTTGAAATCACAGTTTAAAACTTGAGCTCTTTAGCAAAGCATGGAATAGCATAAATAACAGTCCAACTTACTTTTTTTGTTTGTTTTGTTTTAATAGAAAGTTTCCCACCTCACTTTTGGGGGGATCTACTGATCATTTTTATCCAGTGGATGAGTTCCAGATATCCTGAAATCTTTTATGTGGAATTTGCTTAAATTAATCCATGAGATTGGAAACTTGCTGCCATTTTACATGCCAAAGCATTTTGGCATTCAGTTCAGTTCTGTCCCCAAGAAATAGCTTAGCTTTATGAGAATCGGAGAAGGCAATGGCAACCCACTCCAGTACTCTTGCCTGGAAAAATACCATGGATGGAGGAGCCTGGTAGGCTGCAGTCCATGGGGTCGCAGAGTCGGACATGACTAAGTGACTTCACTTTCACTTTTCACTTTCACACATTGGAGAAGGAAATGGCAACCCACTCCAGTGTTCTTGCCTAGAGAATCTCAGGGACAGCAGAGCCTGGTGCACTGCCGTCTATGGGGTCACACAGAGTCGGACATGACTGAAGTGACATAGCTATGAGAATTGCTGAGAAGGGGGTAGAGCCAGGCGATGATCAAACCTAGGGGGGTAAGATTTTGTAAAATAATGAGCATTATATGTAATCAAGGTATTTGAGTAATCTAACAGTACTACCCATTGAAAGAAGAAATACTTTCATAAGTAGGTGAAAGTTTTTCATTCATAAGTGAAGCCGCTTAGTCATGTCCAACTCTTTGAGACTCTGTGGACTGAACCTACCAGGCTCCTCCAACCATGGAATTTTCCAGGCAAGAATACTGGAGTGAGTTGCCATTTCCTTCTCCAGGGAATCTTCCCAACCCATGGATCGGACCTGAGTCTCCTGAATTGCAGGCAAGTGCTTTACCATCTGAGCCAACAGGGAAGCCAAGAAGTGTCAAGAAGAGGGTTGTGAAGGAAGATGAGAGGAAAAAAAGATATGTCCATTCTAGTAGAGCGGAGAGCCAGTAGTGTAAATGAAACCTCATTAGTCCCTTCTTACCATGGTTACTTCTCCTTTGAGGTACGATTCCTACCTTCCCTGATACTTCAGTTGGTAAAGAATCACCTGCAATGCAGGAGACCCCAGTTCAATTCCTGGGTGGGGAAGATCCACTGGAGAAGGGATAGGCTACCCACTCCAGTATTCTGGCCTGGAGAATTCAATGGACGGTATCGTCCAGTCCATAGGGTCACAGTCTAACACAACTGAGCTACCTTCACACCTTCACTACTTTATTAGTTTGTTTCTCCTTTTCTGCCACCTACACTTAGTTTTTTAGCTAATTTCCTCTTTTCTGGGCTTCCCTCTGCAGCCCTCATGTGCCATTCCTGTCCACAATGGGCTGTTTCCCCACGCGGATGCAGTCCTGCCATGAATGCTCCCTGCTCTTCTGGCCGTTCTGCCTGCCCCTCACCAAGTGAGGACAGAGGGTCTTTCTCTGGGGTGTGCTTGAACATGTGCTGGGCTGGCCTGCCCTGGCTCTTCTTCTAATACATATCAATGCTTTTTTCTCCCTGCCTTATGAATACTTGACCATTTGATCATTTCTTGTTTTCAATGTTCTTTTTGTGCTGACAGAGAAAGAGATGACTTAATGTCTGTGCTAGTTTCCGTGAGGAGCAGCTTGACAGAGGTGCAGCAAAGAGAAGCAAGTGCTTATGAGCAGGTGAAACAAGCTGTGAAAATGACTGAGGAAGCCAGTTTTGAAAAAACTAAGGCAAGTCTAATAAGATTAAAATGAAAGCATGCCTTAATTGCCTTTTTTTTTCCTTTTCTGAGTACTTATTTGGTTATCCTCCATAACTAAACTTTTTTTCCAAACACACAAAGTGGAAACCAGTTTGTTAGTGTTGAATTTCTAAATTAAACAAATTTGCTCTTTGGCGAATTCTTATTCCTCTGAAAATTCTCTTGCTATATCACTATTGAAAGAACAGTACAATGTAATATGGTACTTTGAGAGAGTTGGATACTTAACCTTTTCATTTGCCAATAATTTTTAATGCTAAGTGAAACTATTAACACCCATAGTGACCTATTTTTGTATGTTCATATATGACTGAAGACAGATGTTTTTTCTCTGTCCCTGGGAAATTTTGAGAACATTCAAATATACCTCAGTAATAATATACATGTACTTAATAGCATCTTTAGCTGTGAATTGGTATCCGTTGCGTGCTTAAGTCAAACACATTTAATGGTAATGATAATGTCAGTAATAGTTAACACAGTGATCAGGCAGTGTTCTAAGCACTTTGAATAGTAGGAGGTTACTGTTGATTCATCGCTGTTTGGGGCCACACCTTAAACCATTAAAATTGCTGTGTGTTTTCTGTAGACACACTAGCCACACTTGAAGTACCTAATAGCCACATGTAGGTGATTACTGCATTAGTCAGTGTAATATAGGACATTTCCATTATCACAACAAATGCTCTTAGATGGCATTGGTCTAAGCCATATAGTAGCATCACTATTTTATTGGGCTAATCAGCTTCATATTAAACTTCTCCTCAGTCATTGCCTTATCCATTTCTCTCTGTCCAGTTCATCTTTAACTCTTCCTAGACCATTTGACCTTCATAGTGCCCCTGTGCCTTTTGAAAGTAATGTTCACTCTGACCAAATACCCTAATATACTTTATTGTTTCTTCAAACACTCTTACTTCATTTGTAATGAACTCTAGCTGCCCCTTGCTGGTATTATGACCCTCAAAACCCCCAGTGGAGCCCTTTGCTGTTCATCTCATCTCATTTGGCTATGATGGAGGAGGTTAGCGTTCATATCACCCCATACTGCCATTTCCAGGCCTTTGTTATGGTTCAGTTCAGTTCAGTCACTCAGTTGTGTCCGACTCTTTGCGACCCCATGAATCGCAACCCTGTCCATCACCAACTCCTGGAGTTTACTCAAACTCATGTCCATCGAGTCAGTGATGCCATCCAGCCATCTCATCCTCTGTCGTCCCCTTCTCCTCCTGCCCCCAATCCCTCCCAGCATCAGGGTCTTTTCCAATGAGTCAACTCTTCGCATGAGGTGGCCAAAGTATTGGAGTTTCAGCTTCAGCATCAGTCCTTCCAATGAACACCCAGGACTGATCTCCTTTAGGATGGACTTGTTGAATCTCCCTGCAGTCCAAAGGACTCTCAAGAGTCTTCTCCAACACCACAGTTCAAAAGCATCAATTTTTCTTCACAGTCCAACTCTCACATCCATATATGACCACTGGAAAAACCATAGCCTTGACTAAACAGACCTTTGTTGGCAATGTAATGTCTCTGCTTTTTAATATGCTATCTAGATTGGTCGTGACTTTCCTTACAAGGAGTAAGCATCTTTTAATTTCATGGCTGCAGTCACCATCTGCAGTGATTTTGGAGCCCAAAAAAATAAAGTCTGACACTGCTTCCACTGTTTCCCCATCTATTTCCCATGAAGTGATGGGACCAGATGCCATGATCTTAGTTTTCTATGGTACCTACTCCTTATTCCTCTTTTTTTTAAAATAGGTTTTTTTCTACTTTTATTACATTTTCTACTTTTATTACATTTCTATTTTTATTATATAAAACTTCTTTTGCCTGTGCTTGCTGTGGTGCACAGACTGTTTATTGTGGCTCATGGACTTCTCTAGTGGTGGTGTGTGAGCTCTAGACTGGGTGGGCTTGGTAGTTGCAGTAGGCAGGCTTAATTGCAGTATGTGGGAATCTTAGTTCCCTGGCCAGGGATCAAACCCAGGCCCCCTGTATTGGGAGCGTGGAGTCTTATCTACTAGACTACCAGGAAGTCCTGCTTAATTCCTCTTTGAAATTAGGTTACCGCTTCTCTTTGAAATCATCACTGATTCTCCTCTCTCTAATTTTAATCGACTTAAACAATCTAGAAGATACTATTTGACACATTTTTTAAAAAATCATCCCTTTTATACTTGGATTTATAAAATAATTGTAAGATCTTTGACACTTTTTAACAACTTAACCTCTGACCCTTTTTTTCTCTTGTCTAAGTCCTTTCAGGCTAACATAATGAAAATACCTTAGACATGGTGGCTTAAACAACAAACATTTATTTCTCACAATTCTGGAAGTTCAAGATCGTGGCACCAACAGATTTGGTGTTTGGTCAGAGCTCACTTTCTATCTTCTCACTATGTCTTCACATGGTGGAAGGGACAAGAGAACTCTTTGGCGTCTATTTTATAAGGGCATAATCCCATTCATGAGGACTCTGCTTTCATGACCTGATCACCTCCCATGGGGCCCACTATCTAAGTCCATCATGTTAGGGTTAAGTTTCGACATACGAATTTTGGAAAAGCACAAACATTCAGTTCATAGCATCCTCCACTCTGTCTCTTTTCATCATTCTGGAAGGTTTCAACATCCGTGCTGTTAACATATGCAGCATCTTAGTCCCCAGCACACTCCGTCTTCCGTAACTCTAAGATTCTTTTCTGTTCTGCTGTAACTCCACCTGAACTGAAGTGTCCCTGAGATCTCAAACTCTAACACTGATCTCTCTGACCAGAGCCTTTTCTCCTCCTCCCTGTCTCAGTTAAGTCTATTCAGTGTCCTCTTCTACCTCCTCACATACCTCATTTTCTCTATTACCTCCAGGCTGGCCCTCTTCCCTTTCCATTTAGATGTGAATTTTACAATTTCAAGCTAAACTAATTATATTCACTCCATCAAGATAGCTGTATTCTTTACCTACTGAACGGCACTTTTGTCCACTGTCATGTCCTAATTGGAAACCTGGATGTCATCCTCTCTTTTATACCTGGCTTAGTAATCAATTACTAATTGCAAGTTTTTTTTTTTAATATCTATTTGTTGACTTAACAAACAATTTTTACTTTCTTCATTTTCCCAACTAAACTCCTCACTCTCATAGCTGACCTCCTATAACTGAGATCACAACCAACTGATAAGAGGCTCTTCAAAACATCATCTCGCAAATGTGTCTTCTCATTGTTTTCTTGCTTATCTGGTCCTCTTACTTTCCAAGATGAATCTCTCCCAGCTCTTGATATCTCCTACTCCCAAGGTTTCAGGGACCCTAAACCATTTGTTATCATATCTTTCTTATATCTTCCATCCTTCCTTCTCCATTGTTTTTACCTTTGTAGCTTTCCATTCACTTTTGAACACATTGCAGTCAAGCTTTCAACAAATTGTAGTCTGATTTCATACTACTGAATTGGTCACTTTATGGTCACCAGTCACTTCCTGATTGCTGAACCCAGTGACTTCATCTTAGTCCTCATTTGACTCAACTCCAGTAAGCCATTAATTGTCCTAGTGTAACATCTTCTTTTCTCCTTGATTAGTTTGGTATTTCATTCTGTGGGTCATCTTTGCATTGCTCTTCTCTACTCTTCCACATGCCTTTTAACTTGTTTTCCACACACCTAGAATGCAGATATTCCTCATTTTGTTCCTAGACTTCCACCCATGTTGCCCTAATTTCCAGGACTTTGTGTCTTCCTCTCACTGAACACTCCCACATTGTGTCTTTAGCTCTAGCAGCTCCCCTGTGCCCCAGACCTACATTTATAGCTGCCACTGGATCTCTTTATATGGACGATACGCCATTAGCATCTGAAACTCCAATGTTAATTCTCTCCTCCTTACTGTCTGTCACTCCTTTTCCTTTTACAATTTTCCATATTATCTTCTTTCAGATAATGGTATTATCATCTTACCAACAGTTCTGGCTTAGATCGTTTAAAATACCTTGGCTCCTCCCCATTTTTCACTCTCAATATCCAATCCGTTACCAAACTCGCACCTTCTCCTCAGAGACCCTCACTAAGTTATCCCTGCAACTTCCATTCCTGTACCTTTGCCCTGGTTCAAGTCTTCATGTACTCTTATGCAGCCTATGTGGCCTGTTAGAATAACCTGTTGGTCTCCCTCAGGTCTCTTTGAACCCCAGTATATCTTTCATTTTACTGCCAAAGTCTTCCTAAATTGTAAATCTCCCTATTCGGGCAGCTCTCCCCTTGCAGTAGACTAAAAGACAAATCCTTAGCATAACCTTCCAGGTCTTTCACAATGTGGTCCTACTCTAACTTTTCTAGCCTTATCTTTTAGTACACGTTTCATATAACTTGTGCTGTTTCTGTAATGTGACCTATATCAACTCTTTCCATGAATTTGCTCATGTTGTACTTTTCTGCACTATATTCATCTGTGAAATACCTATTCAATCTGTGAGAGTCATCTCAGGTGGCAATCTTCCCAAAAGTTTTTTCCAACCCCTTCTTGTTTGAATTAATCCCTTCCTTCTCTGTATTCCTAATGAGCTGTGTATAATTTTTGTGGCTGTGTACATAGTTCTCTCCATGAGAAGACCTTAAAAACCAGGCCTGTCACATCTATCACTGTATTCTTCACAATGGCTATTTACATATTAATTGTACCATAAATGTTTGTTGAATTAAAATAAAGTTAACTATTAACTTTAAGTACTAGTATGAATTTTTAAAATAATTTTTATGATTTAATATTTCAGTGCTTAATAAGTAGAAAGCCTATTGTGTATCGTGAATCTGTTTTTCACTGAGTTAGTATTTATGCCAGGATTGATTTCTAAGCAGTTTACAAAATGCAGTGCAAGTATAATAATTATCATCAAGATATAGTAAAACATATTAGGAATTTTACTTTTTGAGAGTAAAAATCAAAACAGCATATATATTTTGATTTTAAAATCAACTATTTTATTACTGCATTATGAAATGGTTACTTTGTTCTTATAGTTCCTTAACATTTGTTGCCATCTAGTGTTATATTTTGCATATTGCATGCTAAATAAGTGGAAGCAATTACATTTCATAAATATTATATCAAACAGAGTTCCATGGAACTCTGCTCAATGTTATGTGGTAGCCTAGATGGGAAGGGAGTTTGAGGGAGAATGGGTATGTGTATATATATGGCTGAGTCCCTTCACTGTTCACCTGAAACTATTACAACATTGTTAATCAGCTATACCTCAATACAAAATAAAAAGTTTTTAAAAAAGGCAAATACCATATGATGTCACTTGTATGTGGAATCTAAAACATGACACAAATGAACTTATCTATGAAACAGAAATAGACTCACAGACACAGACTAGTTTGCCTGAAAAGAATGTGAATAAAGGATGTATGTGTGTCTATATATTTGTTGTTGTTGTTGTTGTTGTTCAGTCGCTAAGTTGTGTCAGACTCTGCAACCCCATGGCCTGCAGCACACCAGACTTCCCTGTCCTTCACTATCTCCCATAGTTTGTGTCTATATATATGTATATAAAGGGCTTCCCCCAGTAGGAAGTGACTCAGTGGTAAAGAATCCACCTGCAATGCAGGAGCCTCAGGAGATGGAGGTTTGATCCCTGGGTTGGAAGATCCTCTGGAGGAGGGCATGGCACCCACTCCAGTAGTCTTGCCTGGAGACTCCCCATGGACAGAGGAGCCTGGCAGGCTACAGTCTACAGGGTCGAAGAGTCAGACATGACTGAAGTGACTTAGCATGCACACAGGTTTCCCGTCTAGGTCACTGCATTTTAGGTCATTTTTAACAAAAACTGAAATAAGGTGCATTAGCCTTTATTTGAATTTTGAATACCTCAAACCAAGGGGGCAAAAGGAAGAAGGTTGTCTAAGCCCCCAACTCCCCAAGACCTACAGCCATTTCCACCAAGAAAGGGGTTGTGCTCAGGGAAAAGAAGGAGCCACGACCTTGGGGACTACTAGGAGAAATGGCAGCTGCAGATCCCAAATTAACATGGTCACCTGTGAAGATCTATCAGTTAATTTTAGGTGGCCGTTCCTTGACTTAGTCATTGAGGATTCAGTTATATGCCTTTACTAAATGGTTATATAGAGTATAATCAAGGAGTACTGAATCATCTGGGATTCTGAAAACTAAGAGAGGAGTCTTAGAATTTAAAGACAAAGCTTAAATGGAAAGAAAAAAGTGAAAGTGAAAGTTGCTCAGTTGTGTCTGACTCTTTGCAACCCCACGGACTCTACAGAGTCCATGGAATTCTCCAGGCCAGAATAGTGGAGTGGGTAGCTTTTCCCTTCTCCAGGGGATCTTCCCAACCCAGAGATCCAACCCATGTCGCCCACATTGCAGGCAGATTCTTTACCAGCTGAGCCACAAGGGAAGCCCAAGAATACTGGAGTGGGTAACTATCCCTTCTCCAGGGGATCTTCCCGACCCTGGAATCGAACCGGGGTCTCCTGCATTGCAGACATATTCTTTACCAACTGAGGGAAGCCCTAATGGAAAGAATGTATACATATTTGTTTAGTAGAACCAAATCTTGTATATGAGGTCTGTTGTAAGATTAAATAACTTTTCTAATTCCAAGTGTTAGTTAATATTTCCTTCACTGTGACCAGGAATATATATTAAAATGAAAACAGTAAAACTAAAAGGTATTTTTATATGGGATCACTGGTTACAAACCAAGAGTGATCAGTATCCAGTTTTTAACCTACTACTTTTATTCAGTGTTTCATTACTGCTTTCATACTCATCATCACCTCTCAGTGGTAGCTACTTCTCATAGAAGGCCATCTACAAAACCAAGTCTTCAGCAACATATTTTGTTTATGTGATTTATAGCTTCTCACTTGTGCTTATATCATTTTGGCTCACTTGTGCTTATATCATTTTGGCACTAGGCCTTTTACCTGTCAGGATCATTTACTGTTCCTTGTTGCTGAACTGATTAAATTCTTTGAATTGACTCTTTCGTTGTTCTTCATGTTAGCCTGATCTTCAGCAGTTCCTTCCACTGTTCTTGTACCTATTAAGGTTGATTCCTGAGTTCTTATTCAATGAAAAGCCTTCTGATTAGATATACTAGTTTATATTCTATAATCATTTTATTCTTTCATGATAGTCGTGTGCCAGTGAACCTTATGAATGCTTTTATCAGGTTGTAAAATTTTATCTTCCAAACATTTTCAACTAGAATTGAATTTGGGACTAACTCCCTAGGAGAATCTTTTTTTTTTAGGCATTGTATTTGCTTATCAATTAATCTGAGACAATTGCATTTTATCCTCACATTTTATGCCTGGGAGTATAGAACATTTCCAGAAGAGCTTGAAAGAAGTTAGAGTTTAATGAGTTCTTGATAAAAGAAAGAAAATTCATATATCCTAAGTACTTACTGTCTGTATTTACTATAGCTTTCACCAGAGGGAAGCATAGCAATGCATAAAACTTTGCAGTGCTTACTGAGACTACTTCCATCTCCATTAACAACGACTGTGACTATCAAATTATAAGCATACAGTATATAAGTCATATAAGGCTTCAGTTTCTTTCTTTCAGTTCAAGGGAACAACATAGAGGTTGAGAGAGGAGGATATTGGGAGGAGACATGGGATAAGACTAAGAAACCATAGTATGACTTAGATTTTTCTGTTAATAAGTCAAGCACCTTAATTGTATTGTTTTTTTTCTCTTGAGAGTTTTAATTCAATTTTTTATTGAGTGTTATACATAAAGATACTCTGAATATAGCCAAAAGGAAATTAGAGAGTTCTTATTTCTGGAAACACAGAATTTAGTATAAATTCTGGAAATTTAGTCTAAAGGACAATTACCAACTTTTAAATTGCCGAAATGAAATGAGACTTCTCATTTTATAAAACTAGGTAGTAAATGCTGTTTTGAGTCTTTCCTTACTGAAATTTGATTATTACCTAATTTTTACTTTAGCTCTGTGTGTAAGGAGAGTGAACCAAATCTTATCTTACTTATATTTAAGGAAATTTGATTACGGTGTGTGTTAAATAATAGATGCCTTTAGGTAATGACAAACACATCTCATCTTAAAATTTTGATATTTATCATTTAAAGTGCAAATAATTTTTAACCATGTCCAAATGAAAAATCAGTTAAATTAGATACTTATGTATTTCTTATAGTATAAAAATGATATATAATTGAAGATATTAGAACATTTTCTGATCCCCTTTTATAAAATTGAAACTCCTCTGTGGCCTTTATCATGGTTTGTTGCTTGGATTTTCTTAGTTGATTAGTTAATATAGCCTTAATTGTGAAAACAAATATGTGAATAACTGTAACTTTTGAATATATGTAATATTTGAATCACCAAGTAGTATTGACAAACAAATATAAAAATATTCTTTTCTTTGACTTTACATTAAGTTGTAACTATTTTAAATATTATTAAAGCTCAATTGTCTCATTTCCCCCATATTTCTTCTAAATTCTATGGTTCCATTTCAACTCTGTCTTATTCTGGCAGGCTTTGATCCAATGCGAACAGTTGAAAAATGAGCTGGAGAGGCAGGCAGACCGACTTGAGAAAGAACTTGCATCTCAGCAAGAAAAAAGAGCCTTTGAGAAAGAGATGTTGAAAAAAGAAATAACAAAAGAAAGAGAAGACATGGGCTCAAAGGTACTTAAGAGTTCAATTTGTTATCCACATTGCAGAGGAAGTGTCTTTGTGATGTAATTGATGAGTCTGCAGTCTGCAATTCTTGAATGATCTTTAAATGTTTAAATATTTTAAGTATTCAAGTTGCTTATTAATTAGAGTTCATAAAATTTTTCTATTCTCAATGTATTTCTCAATAAAAGTTATATTCTCTGACCTTTCCAAAGAAAATAAGTAGATTTCATGATAGGAAATTGTGAAATATATTCTAATGCTGCCATTCTGTTTGAGTCCCTCTCCGTTTGTCAGAGGAGAGCAGGTGCTCTGCAGATATCCATATTTTAGTTCAACCTTGGTTAAATTAAGGAGAGATTACCCTTTCATTTCATCCCCCCACTCCCAAATTAGACATTAAGAAGATAAAACACTTGTAAGAAATCAAGTAGCCAAAAAAAGTGATGATATGCTTTTTATAAAATAGGTTCTGACAAATTAAAAAAAAAATGAGATGGTTGGATAGTATCACCAAGTTGATGGACATGAATTTGAGCATGCTCCAGGAGTTGGCAATGGACACGGAAGCCTGGCGTGCTGCAGTCCGAGGGGTAGCAAAGAGTCAGACACGATTGAGTGACTGAAATGAACTGAACTGAACAAATTACATGATGAATAAGTGGAAGAGGGAAATTAGAGGCAAAAGGAACAGATAATATGAGATGGGCAGTGTTTGAAAAACTAACAAACTGGAATATAGAGTTCAGTGGACTCTAGTTTTAAAATTGCTATTAATTGCTATAGTAGAGCAAAAATGAGCAAGATGTGGTGCTTGAAGTAACCCAAACAATGGTTACATGTTCTGTTTGTTCAAAGCAGTCTCACACCTTATACTGTAAGTGCTGTCTTATAATATTCCAAGATTTGAAAATTAACTCATTCAGCAAATATCTACTGATTATCTGCTGTATGCACAGCAATGTGTAAGCCTGAAGCTATATAAAAAGAAAAATCACAAATTCTGCCCAGTGAGTTTTAAGTCGTACAGGTATGTGAGGCAATGTAAACTCCCTTGTTTTCTTATCCTTTTTCAAAAAAATTGTGCCTGTCAAAACTTAACTTACAGGTCAGTCTATTGTAGCCACGCGTTCTGGGAAACAAACTCACTCAGAAGGACAATGCAGATAGTGAAATGCAGTTTATTATACCGGCGGGCCCAAGGCAGAATCTCCTCTTAGCCAAGGACCCCAAGTAGCATTTGTGAAAATCTTTTATACCCCAGGTGTATGTGTCCGAACCCACCACCCCAAATTCCTTGAGAGTTACATAAACTAAGGAAGGGTAAATACAATCCCAATAACCCCATCACTCATGTGCCATGTGCTCAGACAGTTAAACAATTAGCCAATAATCAATAAGCACGAGGTTACACTCCAATAGGTACAGAAAAATTTATGGGCTGTCTGGAGGAAGGGGTGATTAGTGTCTGTTCTCTTAGGTGATGAGTAACCTGGATATGATCTTCAAGATTCCCCTGTCCTGAAGGAGACTTATCCTTCTGTTGTCATTTCCATAGACACTAAACACAGAGTTCAGAGTCCACTGGAGAGGTGGCCGAGCACGATCAGCATGAACAGGCCTAAATTGGAGTCCAGACCCTATGAATTCCTTCTTCATTACCCGCTCTTGATGCTCCTAGTTTCTGTAACGAGCATCATTTATTGCGATATATTGTACCCTAGCCCTCCGGCTACCCACATGAGAGAACACTAATAACCTCTGGGTTTCAAAATTCACAAGGCATTGTAAGAGGCAGTATGATGAGAACGATTATGACAACAGTAGCAGTAGTTTTTCACCAGTCTCCCTCTACCCAGGACAGAACTGAAGTCCAAAAGGGAATATTTTCATTAGACATGGCTTTCACTTGATTTTGCATATCCTCCAAGGCAGTAGATACATTTCCAGACAGGTCAGGGATGTATACACAACATTTGGCTTTAATTATGGGGCAAGTCCCCTCCTGGGCTGCTGTATGTCTAATGCCATCCTATTTTGAATTGCTGCCTTCCTCATCTGAATTTGTTCTTCGTTCAAGGCTTGAATGGCTTTTGAACTGTCTAAGGGGGCCTGTTTAGTGAAATTAGTTAAGGCCTCTACCTTAACCATGATATCCGTTGTCCCTATAGAGGGTACAAACAAGGCAGCAAGATAGTCATACCATTGGAACACAGATCGTGTCCATCTTGCATGCAGATAGGGCAGGTTTACTGGAGGTTGGTGTAGGCTAGGCTTAATACTGCCATGGGCGAAAGCAAATCCTAGTGTGCAACGCCCTACCCAGCCAACTGGTAACCATGGCCATAAGTTAAGCCCACAGAGCCACTGGGTCCTGTTGTGGGCTACTCAACGGATTCCGGGATTATATTTCATTCAGAACCGGGCTACTGAACAGACCAACTGGGGTGATAGGTAACTTCAAAGATTTGTTTACATTGTTCAGGGGACAAATAACCCATATATTTTCATTCTTTTGGGTCTAAGAGGTGGTCTCCAAATCCAACTTTGTGTTCTTTTTGTTCCCAGCAAATAGTAGCGGGAGTAATCAACTGTCCTTTCTCAGGAATCATCCAGAAATATTCATCCCAGACCTGGTAGTATTGCTCAAGGTACTGGGAGTTCTGTCCCTCCTTTGTAAGGGAGCCACTCTCCTTTTTATTTTTCATATATGAGGTATAAGCCTTTGTTACCTCCATAAGACTAGTGTTCATGTTAAATGTAACCCTATGTCCCCAGCCCATTGATGGCTTTTTCTGACACCAGGAGAGCAAAGAAAGGTTATGATTGGTGAGAGAAAGGAAAGTTCCTTTCTGTTGTTCCAAGAAGGAGCACAGTGGTATAAAGTCCCCATAACATAGTGGCGATACCCACCATGGGAGTCCGTCCATTACTGACAGGGGCATAGCGCCACATACCCAACAGTTGGAGGAGTTGTGGAAGTCCATGTAAGAATGTGCCCATGAGATGAAGACGTTGTCCTGTGCAGGAACAGTGGTCAGGTTCAGAATTGCGTTGGTGAAGACGAGTACTAGGAGTCGTTTACCCAGCTCCATACTAGAGAGGGCTCGTCCGGGACCTCGCTTTCTTCTTCCTCTTCATAATGATCTTGGTTTCCCATGGGCCAGTGGGGTCCTTCTGGGTGGTCCACTTGGCATCTTCTGGGTCAGCGTGGTATGCCTTCTTCGCTCTGTTGTGATGGATCCCAGGGGCAATGCCTGCAACTTTAACTGCAGTAGGGGTGGTTAAAACAACAGTATATGGACCTTTCCATCAGGGGGCTAATGTGTTACGTTTCCAGTCTCTCACCCATACCTGGTCCCATGGTATAACTCATGCATTTGCTTCCCCAAGGGGAACGATATTCTTTCTTGCACAAACCCAGTTACTTGATTAATTACCTTACCTAGTTGTTCCATCTGCTGTGATATCCCCTCTCCTCTTACCTGAAGTATATCAGTTGTTACCTGTCTTATTATGGGAGGAGGCCTCCCATACACAATTTCGTAGGGAGAGTAGCCATGGGGCTGTGGGGTCATCCTGAGTTTGAGCAAGGCCATGGGAAATAAATCCACCCAGGAACAGTCAGTTTCTATAATCCATTTAGAAAGTGTCTCCTTTAGTGTCCGGTTAGTTCGTTCTACCATTCCGGAGCTCTGAGGCCGGTAGGCAATGTGTAACTTCCATTTTATATTCATGGCCTTACTTACTTGTTGGATCAGATCCGATATGAAGGCTGGGCCATTATCTGATCCTATGCTGGTGGGGAATCCAAATCGAGGAACTATTTCCCTAAGCAGGCTCTGAGCCACTTCTGACGCTCTTTCATCGGGTGGGGAAGGCCTCCACCCATCCCGTGAATGTACATACTAAGACCAACAGGTAACGAAAATGGCGATGTGGTTTCATCTCAGTGAAGTCCACTTCCAGATATTCAAAGGGAAGGGTACCTTTTACTTGGATACCTGGGGGTTTTGGTCTGCACCCTGGAGCAGCGTTAATCTGAGAGCAGATTTTGGGATTCCGTTCTACATAGAGAAGAGAGGTGAGGAACCAGAAAATACCGTTGGATCAATTCCTCCAATTTGTCATGTCTTAGGTGAGTCATACGATGAGCTGGGCTCACCAGAGAGGGAGCCATCCCTTTGGGCACTAGTAGCCTACCACCTGGTAGCTCCCACCATCCTTTCTCTGTTTTGGTGGCCCCCTCCGCTTCAGCTAGCTGGTTTTGAGCCTTGGCGTATGTTGAGGAGTCTAGGGCCAGCTCGGGTAGCTCAGCTAGGACAAATGTTCTCATGGGAATTTCCCCGGATTCCTTTCTGTCCTCGGCTGCCTGTCTGGCGGTCTCATCAGCCAGCCTATTTCCTTGAGCCTGTGGGGTGTCTTCCTTCTGGTGCCCACAGCAATGCATGACTGCTACCTCCGTGGGACTCCAGACAGCGTCTAGCAGAGTCAGGATCTCCTCCTTATTCTTAATGTCCTTTCCATTGGCTGTTAGAAGGCCTCTCTCCCGGTATAGTGCCCCATGTACGTGGAGTGTAGCAAAAGCATACCAGGAGTTGGTGTAGACGTTCACTCTTTTGCCCTTTGACAACTGCAGTGCCAGGACTAAGGCCCATAACTCAGCTCGTTGGGCTGACCAGTGCTGTGGTAAGGGGCCGGCCTCCATAACAGTCGTCTCTGTGATTACAGCATAGCTTGACAGTCTCTGTCCTAGCTTTACCAGGCTGGTGCCATCAGTATACAGAGTCCAGTCAAGATTTGAAATTGGCCTGTCTCAAAGGTCTGGACAGCTAGCAGAGACCTCCTCTGAGACTTCCTTCCAATCATGAGTAGGTCCTCCCTCTCCCATTGGGAGAAGCGTTGCCAGTTTTAAACCCCGGCAAGGCTCGATATGGAGGTTGGGGTTTTCACATAGCAGTCCCTGGTATTGAATAATCCGGGAATTTGACAGCCATTTGTGGGGGTCT